GGCTGCTGATAAGAACTGGGCCGCCCTCTTTTATGCAGTCTTGTCCATTGGGTGCCAGAACAACGAAGGAGGAAGTTTCGAGGCTGGCATTGGAGAAGCATGGTCATACTTCGAGCGGTCCTTGTCCTATTTCCAGGGTATTCTTTTTGGTAGAGGGTCTCTGATGGCGGTCCAGGTTCGTTTCCATCCTCCTTTGAGGAATTTCCGTTCCAATATAGTAACATCATGACAGTATCTTATTGCTCTGGTAAGCCGCGACTTGCACACTCTAGTGAAGTCAAGCTGAACCCCCTCGCAGGCAATATTCTCATCAACAGTGTCGGCCTTCCAGTTCGAACCCTTGATGCTGTCCGAGGCTGCCACGATGGCACAGGGGCTGGGATATAATCGATCAAACAGTCCGCAAGAAGGCCCTTGCCGTCGCACCTTCTGGGTACTCTACTTCATGGAGAAGACTTCTTGCTTCGCGACTGGGAAAGTCTCAGTAAGTTACCCCATTTCTTATTTTCTTCTGTTCCTCTAATCCAGTACTAATGCCCCGGAAAATTCAGATTCTGGAGGACGCAAACATAAGCTGTGCAATCCCAGACGTGCCTGAGTCCACGTTCGATGACTACGACTGGTTCTTCAGCTTTGTCAAATACGCTCGTCTTGTTTCCAAAATTCACCTGTCTCTTTTCACCATCAGCGCTGTGAATCAGCCATTATCCATATACAACTCTTTAGTAGAGAGCCTTCGTCTGGACCTGGAGAGCTGGCGCTTATCCGCTCCAGTCCGGTTCCGACCGGGCGAGATGCTGAAGCCTCGACTGTTGCGCGAGCCCTTTGCTGTTCAAATCGCTCTCATTACTCACTTCCTTTATCTCAATGCCCTCCTCACTCTCTCCTGGACTGTTTTACATCACGGTTCTGTTAGACTGGGGACCTCACAACAGGAAGTCATGAAGCGCGACCTGATGCGAACTGCGAGAAGCGTTTTGGAGCTGACGGGTTACATCGAGGTATCGCACTCCACCCCGGTTTGGTAAGTACCTAACATCCTGTGACTTGTTCCTTGGCAAAATCCGCGTCTAGAATCACTATCTAACTTCATTTCAGGATCCTCGCGGTATTACCCCTCTCCTCACTGATGATCCTCTTCGACCTTGTCGTTCACAACCCAAACCACCCCGAAACCGGACTCAGTCTCGCTCTTCTCGACATCGCCGGCGGACATTTCAGCCGGTTGGAATATGCCAGCAAAGGTGTGCTTCCCGGCTCTCTGGTCGCCGAGTTTGCACATCTCGCGCGTCATTACGTGTCGGAAACCCGCAAATCCAAGTCCCGAGAAACAACCAGTGAGAGTATTCCACTGCCGGCTCCCACAGAGGTTCCTCAATCCGTTGTAGGGGCGATGGGAAATTCAATGAACCTCACTGCCGTCCCAGTGCTGCCTCAGGAATCCGTCGCCGATCTCCCTGACGTCACGCAGCCTTGGAGTCCTGCATCACTCGATCGCAACGAATCTCTCTTCCTTCCCTTCGTTGATGACCCTAACTACTACTTAGGGGACTTGCAACTTTTCGGGATCGACGTGAGGGATCTTTTTGACCACCCGTACTCATTAGTCGGTCCCACCGGGGAGTGACCGCATGTCGTGATACATCTTCTCACTCCCTCTTAACATATGTAAAAGCTTCTGAAAGCATGTAATCACCTCCTTTGACGTAGGATTTCCTTCGTACCCCGATCATACTTTCACTTCTTGGTTTTTTTATGCTTTTTTTTTGCCCTCTTGTCATTCTTCTGCTTTTGTTTTTCCATTTCATATCGCTTATTAGTATGTACAAGGACTTAGGGCAGGGGGGCTGTCGGACCAGAAGATAGAATTCAATAATACAATGCACCGAATAAAATGATTCGAAAACTTGCAATTTGTAGGTGCGTGGTGGAGGAAGTTCAAACCTAGAGGTTACCAGAACCAGACTACGCGTCCTGATTGTCTACTACAGATTGATCAACACCAATATCAACATCAACAGTTGCATAACAGCCGCTGCCCTCTTCACTTTAAGATATACAATACTTCGCAGCATTGAAGTCCATGACTTCTCAAAAAAAACCCCACAAATCCCCGTTTCTGCCCCCCCTCCCTCTATTTAGCCTGGTTCTCAGCCATCGCGATAAAATCTCCCAAGTCGACCATGGAGGGGCATAGCGGCCTTCGGCCTTTCGCTGCCTTCATGGCTGCTCTTCTGGACTTTTTCCTGGACCCATGAACGATGTGATTTTGACCACCCCCTGTCTGGTCGGGGGGGTCTTCTTTCCAACACGGAAAAACAACGTCTCTGAGCCATGTGTACCATGGCCGGTGGGCTATCGGATATGATTTGCTAGCATCATTTCAGTCATTTAGGTTGGAGTATCTTACGGGGGAGGGGCTCATTCAACGCCAGCCTAAACTGGGCGAGGTCCTTGGGCGTGAATGCCCCCACAGAAGCGTATCTAGCTTGTATTAACAAAAACCTCTTTGCAGTATCATTGAGATATATGGAGTGTATACCTTTTGTGTGCCTTCAAGGCACATATGTATATAGCGAGGCCACAAAACCCGCCCAGGATTATGCTTCCTGTAATGAGGGCTACCACCCCCATGGTCCATTTTGGGCCGAGGCCCGGTGGGATGCTGTGTTGGGGCATAGCCCCCATTCTCGGCGATGGTGGTATATTGGTGGGACCACCGAGTAAGCTTTCGCCTTTAGAAGGGCGTTTCTAAATCTTCCACCTTGGGAGGAACAACATTTTGAGGGGGCGGTGCGGGGTATCTATGATATCACGTAGTGTTAGCTTCGTATTCTAAGGGTTGCGGCATGAGGGGTTGTGATACTTGGTCTCAGTGTAAATGTATTTCGTTTGAATCCTCAAGACCCAAGCATAAATTGGGTTGGGCTGAGACACCTTCTTCGGTCGCGATAGGACCCGGAGATGATGGTAGGCAGGGGAAGATTTAAAATTTGAGTGTTTCTGATGCGCCTGTAGAAAAGCTCTTGGTGAGAGAAATGAGATGTGTTTTTGTTGTATGGATAAATGCTTCTCGCAGCGAGAGGGATGTTGTATGTGACTCTGGGGTGAAGGGGAGGCGGTTGTTTGTTTCTCGGGTGCGGGTTGTACGGGAAGGTGCGCAGGCAGGGGAAGGTGTAGATCTGATGTCTCTTCTGACTGCCGGAACAGCGCGCATCCAGGACGCTTGGTACTAACTGAATGCCGTGTTTTCTAGCTGGTCTGCTTTCTCAACAAATAATCGGCTTGCGGAATATCTGCTCCGTACTTGCTTTCGATGTATTTGGTAGTGCAACCACTTCAACGATTTAAAGGGGATACCATTGTGCGCTTTGTTTGCTGGGAGCGTATTGAGAGCCTCTCAGTCGTGGTTTTTCCATGAGAAAGTTTCCCCTAAAGCTTACCTTAGGTAGGACCCCCCTCGGGCAGTCCATTTCCGTTCATATCTGACAAACTGTACGGAGGTAATGAGTAGCCGATAATATACATATGAGACACTATGGCCACCTCTCTCAGGGTTCAACGTGAATAGATTCAGAAACTCCGAGGCATATCCATGTAGAGAAAGAAACAACAGTCCTTCGTCACAGTACAGAAGCAACATAATAAGTCCGCAAAGATATCATTCTCTGTATGTCCACCGCGAACATGGAAGAGAAACAAGGAGGATACCACTCAAAGCCCCCAAGCAAGAGCCCTAGTGTAAGCCATTTTATAGTCAAAAGAGCGCATCCCGTCCTGATCAAAGATTACTCTTGGGACCTCCTCATCGTTTTCAATTCTAATTGTGAACCCCCTTGCCCGCTCACAGCAAAGACATGCAGGAGTGCAGTGTCCAATATAATTTGACCGCATCTCATTCCTTTGCCTTGTACAACAGCCACACTCACGCCCGCAACACCCATACCGGCACATTTACTCCGTAAACAATCTGACATATGCCAATTGCCTTGTCGAGCACGGGCATATATAGCACGCTTCAGAGCGCCTTCTGGTATCAAATAATCTGGCCCTATGACATTGTCTTTTCACTTCCCAGATGGCTTTACGCAACGAGTCGAGACGAGCTTTGAGTTCTTGCATCCCCTCCACGAGGCCATCGGCCGATGATGGATCTTGATTGAGTTTCTCGTACAGAATATCGTGTTTGGCCTGGATGGATGCCTCGTTTTGTACCATAAAGTGTAGTTTTAACTCGAAAGCAAGATACTTTGAACAAAACCCCGGGCTTCGCGATTTTCATAGGTTTCGAGCTGCTCGGATCGCCATTCGTGTTGTTTCAAACGAAGTTTCTGGGCCTGTCGCCACTTCCCGTATCGCTCGAGTCTTTCCTCGCACTTTTGGAAAAAAGGCCCGCACTTTATGGCAAGTTTTGTCTTGAAAGGCATGGCGAGGATGATCTGCAGAGAATGACTGCGGATTAGATTGTGGGGTGTGTGAGGTTCTAAAACTTTTGCAGGCAACTTGAGATATCGCTGGAGTCACGTCACTCTTGTCGATAACTTCCATCATATCCCGCTCATCGTCACACCCAATTTTAGTATTCAACATATGAGTTTTTCCTCGACCATTGACGATACATTGGTTGCTTGACTGAGCGATCGCCTGACTGCACATAGAGGGGAGATTCGCATACTGACCTCAATATTTGTTCATTTATCGCAACCAATGCAACACATAAACCATCCCCTCAACCCATCCCCGCCTGTTCTTAGACACTCAAAAAAGAGCGTTCTACACTTTTGCTATTGAGAGTCCGCGAGAATTCATTGAAAGATAAATACTTAAATCTCACCACAGCACTCCTTGACTCTTTCCGCATTCCCGATCTGGACACACCACTCACTGTATATAATCGAGGTCGCATCACCCACCCACCTCACTCATCTTGTAGTGGGGTTATGCTAGAACACGCTAAATTCTTACGATGCGGGTATGCAAATCAGCAAAAAAAAGTTGATGGCCCGAATCGGGATTCGAACCCGAGACCTCCTGCATTTCAATCCTATGTTTAATAGGAGGAGTTTGGGTCCCCGAAGCAGGAATCATACCACTAGACCATCCGGGCGGTTGCCAGGACATAGGGGCAGGACGACATTACCAGTTTCGCCACAGTGAGATTGCCGCCGACGGTCGATCTCGCCTGTTACTTACGTACGTTGTGAGATTTGCGGTGGCTTATTTAGTGTGGGAAGACAATACGAATAAAGCTTTTGATTGATTCTGACGTGCTAGATACATTGAGGAGAAGATAGAAGAACAAGACATGGTGATTGTCGGAGACTAAAAGCCTTCAACATTGAGCCTGGCCCGGGCGGCTCCTGACAGATCTATTGAGTTCCATGAGAGATCATCTTCAACATCATATGTAACCGTGATGCGGTACTGCGAAATCTATCTGTTAGAAATATTCCAACTTTTGCTATCGATGGGCTATCTTACATTGGGCTTCTACCCTTGCTAGAGCTTCCTCCATCTTCAATCTTCGTGAAGGTGAGCATGAACGGCGCGATATGCGGACGCGCATGTTTAGGCCACAGGACTGGGTTAGTCCCCAGATTTCGGAGTATATCGAGGATGCGTGTGAGTGATTTTATCTGCCTTCGGTGCATTTTAATTCCAGTTCGTAAACGAGGAGCCTGTATAAGGCAAACTTTATGGTTGGGGCGACTGCGGCGGGCGCGGTGGCCCTGTGGTACTTAGGGTCTTTGGTTGGTCTGGAACCATGCCGCTGTGACTGCGGAATTCATTTATCAGAGTGAGGTTCTAATCATTGCTATCCAGGGGCTATCTTCCATCTTGCCTCCGCTCTACCCAGGGCTTCTTCTAATTGCTCAGGTATGTTAAAGAAGCTGCGCCTGCAAAGCCGGACAGAGCGCGAACAGCCATGAGCTGACTAGGTGTTCGACTCAGGGTGCAGAAGAATGTTAAAAAGAAGTTGGGACAAATGGCGTGATATGCGGGTGTGCGTGTCTAGAGCCACAGGACAAAGTTAGTCTCGAATCTGGGAAGCACATTGAAACCACCGCATCTCCATACCTATGCGCCCTCAGGATACCAAGTGTATTAACATCACCCAAATCGACTTCACAACCCCTTAGGGTTGGCACCGTTAACAAGGCAAGATAACATTTCGGTGATTCATGATCGGCATGGCGGCGGACAGGGCAGGCCCCGAGTTTTGATGGAAGTAGAAAGTCTGTGACTATAAAGCGTCAGATTCGGATGATGTTGTCTGGGTTCATTACATGCCTTTAATGCCTTCTAGGCACGTATGTGAATCGGAAGACTAAGATGTCCCTAAGGGAATTCCGACTTGGGTGTACCATGAGGATAATGCCCCGACACCATCGGAGGAGAGTCGGTCGCTACTTAGTGTTATTATCTGGTGTTTCAGGGTGATCTCAGCTGTTACTGAGTCTGCCTGTCTAAGCTAGATCGCAGACAAGAGGGGAAGACTCACTATCTTTGTAGAAAAGGAAGGGGGTAAACAAAATAGGAGGCTTGCAGCCGAAGTCAAGGTCGGGCTTCTGGGATGTAGAGGTTTAATTCAAAAGGCTTTGAGATATCACCCAAAATGATTCATTAATGGAGAGCCACGTTAAAAGGAGAATTCCCTGCCCTTGGTCAGGAAGTGTTTTGGGTAGAGGAAAAGGGAAGAGGGGGAGGAATCAGCGAAGGCAAGTGTGCCTACCTGCTGCCTGTTTCACCGGAGTCCGCGTATATCTGGAAGGCGCTTCGCCGAATACAACCCCGTAAATTTACCACATCGAAAATGGTCGGCTCATCAGATTCCATAAAACAATCATAATCGAGGTGGAGGAATAGCCTGAGAATCATTGAGACCTCAAGACTTTAGAGGTGGCAAATGACGACAGATTGAAGCGTCTGCAATCAACCCTGAGAACTAAATCAGCCCTCGTTACTTTACTCAATATTACCCTGGGATTTAGAAGATGTCGTAATTGAGGATGGACTATTACTAGTACTTGTACCAACTTGACTAAACATTACACATTGCGTCTGCTCTATATATGGCATATAAATCTTACGAATACCTGTCCCAGTAGTAGACGCCAAACCGCAACGCAAATGCATAACCCCACCGAGCCTCCTATATATTAAGCCAGGGGCCAGATAGTAGCTCTTCCGCACTGCTTCGACCTTCTGGTCACCATCGTAGCATTTTCGAAATGAACTCTATGAACGCTTGCTTCTCAGCATCTTCAACATCAAGATCTATGGCCTTCAGTCCCTCGGTTTGTCGGACAAGGTCGGGAGCATTAAAATGCCCTACTCAGCAAAGTTAGCAACGGTCAATGCGAGAAACATGAGCCCCTACCTTCATCATCAAAATATCGTGATCTTTTTGCTACCCGTTGAATGAGATCGAGTGGTGGAGGTCCAAGTCGGGGAATGATGCTCGCTAGGTGTGCTTCATCGGTGCTTTCCGATGTGTCGGATTTTGCTGTATCAAAGGGTCCATGTCCTTGAGATAAGTCCCATATCTGAATGGGATTTTATTACACAGGTGCCAGTGATAGCTAGCATAAGGATAGTAGGCCCTACCAAAGCACCCAGGTTCCATATATCAGCACTATAGCTCCACCCTGCTTTCAAAACTACCTCCGGAGCGCGATCCCCATCGGGCTGAATCAAATGGTCATGGGGAGGACCATCTTTACGGACTGCAAGCCCGTAGTCTGTGATCACGGGTCTTCCCAGGCCCTTTGCTTCCAAGCCAAAATCATTTCGTGAAAGATATATGGTTCGATCTGGGAGTTGCTTTTGAGGTATTGGGCTCTTGGTTTCATCCTGAGCGACGGTATCAAGAACAGACGGATCCCTCAGGGCCATCATGATATTGTCGGATTTTAAATCTTAGGTAATCATTAGCCATAACTAGTTAGTTAGTTATTCGGCTAACAGCTTCAACGATATTCTACCAGTATGGATAACATGACACTGTGTATGAAGGTAGCGAAGACCTTCAAGAATGGTCATCGTAATTGGCCTCGGCACATCAAGCGGGAGGACGTTTCCATGGAATCGATCCTTCAACATCCAGAGGGAGGGCATCAAACACCGTGCACACGTGACTACCATGAGGCCCTGATATGAGGTTAGAGGCTTAGAGCCCTGATTGGTTGGTCGGAACATCATTGGTCCGGACCCGCTGCTAAGCGAGCCTCTGTATCACGCACGTAAAAGAGCCTGCAAGCAGGCACGGAGATAGAAAGGAATTAAGCACTCAGTATATCATTATATGGACCCTCTTATTAGGCTTAACTAGCCGCCTGCATACATTAAATAGGCCTTGTACAAGCACTGCGACCGGAAACCCCGAATCCCCTGAGTGAGGTGGCTGATCCCCACTTCAGCATTCGCATTCAACGGGAAGCCGCCGATCCCCCGCCCGCGTCTCTCTCTGCTTGACAGCCGGGACGTCCCGCCCGAGGAATGTTTATCTTGCTCTTATGCTCCTCGCTCTCCCCTTGACTTCTTTTCCAACTTCGCTCGGCTTTAAGCACATCTATCTCTTGTACCCTTCTGCTTTTCAGATTTCCTATAGCTATGGATATCCAGATGAAAAGTCTCAAGTAATAAATTAAACCAAAACATGGTGTATGGTGGGTCAGGTGGTTAGAACTGGCCAAGAATCTGTAACCTCTGTCATCACTCGTCCACGATATAGAAATTGGCTACAAACAATCGATCACGTTTTTCCCCTCGAAGAATTTAAAGTCGATCAATGTCTAAAGGGATATTTCATCCTGGTCTACACGCGAACGCTACCTACGAATGGAAATCATTCTTGGTTGGAGGTGAATCATATATCCGCTCCAACTCAACCTATATTGTGCAAGCCCTATCTATTCCAAATCAAAAGCCATAATCATCCAGGACTGCAGATACGAGTGCTCTAAAAATTTTCACAAGGAAAAAACTCATGGGAAAAAAATGAATAAAGAGGGTTGTCCACAACGCAAGTTCGCCGACCTACGCCGTACCTCTCTCTCTGTGCTCACACCACGGTCGTCACAAAAAACACGCCCGAAAGCGACCGGTATGAGCAATACTACCGAGGTTCCTCAACCAGAGGAAGCAGCAAAAAAGATAAAAACATACAACAGAAGGGATTCGCTGGTGGTCACCCACCCAACTACTAACCTCCCGGCGTGTGGCTTAAGTACGGCTGAGCGGACGGGAAGCCCTGTTCTCCACACCCTGTGGTCGTATGTGCTTGTATTCTTGTTAAAACAATCCATATAGAGCGGTTCTATCCGCTATAAAAGTTACTCTGCTGAACTTCATACTGCTTGAGATACTCGCGTTAGTCAAAGAAAATCACAGGCAAGAAAGATTTGATGTCAAAATCCCCACTGCTCACACCAATGCCTCATCAAGTCCGGCGAAACCTTCTCCATCTGCCGCATTGTCGCGCTGTGGCTCTCGGTCCGCGTGGTTGCGAACTGAAGCGCCCGTCCTAGTGCTCCTAGCAGCAACACGATATGTATCCAGCAGCTTCAAGTTGACGGCAGGGTTGCGATCCACATGTCCATCCCGACCCGCTTGGCTTTTGTCCAGCGCATCCACCCACTCCTCCAGCGAGACCACTTTTTGGATCCTCTCGCCATACAATTCACGTAAAGTGGGTACTAAGTTAGCCCATTCTGTTTGTTTTGGATTCAACGCGTGGAAATATCCGTCTAGTTCTTTCACTGATGTTTGTGCGGTTACTCCCGATACCTCCAGGACTATATTAGCGATATCCTCGATCGGAGACCAGCTTAGATGGCCTAATACACCCAGGGAGTCGGGGAGGAGCCCGAGGTAGAAGGAACTGCGGATCAGGCTGGGTAGCCACTCTTGTGGATTCCAGCGGCCGTGTGGGCCCCGCGGGCCGGCGACCTGTCCGACTCGGATGATGGCGCGTGGTATCCCCGAGGAGGTTGCTGCCGCGTCAAGAATCATGCTACTGGCTAGTTTGGATCGGCTGTATCTTGTGCTGGTATGGGACCAGTTGTCTTCTTGTTCCAGCGCGATTTCGGGGATGAATCCGTTCCA